CACAGACTTGAGAGTGATGAATAATAATAATAATCTGCTCAGTTCCAAAAGGTAATTAAGATACAGCGTGGAATCTCTAGCATCTGATACAATATTGAATCTAATTTACTGGAGAACGTCGAAAACTAAATTCAAAAAGAAAATAATATTACAAGACTGATAGTAGCAGCTTTCTCGGTATTTGCAGTGACAATAGAGTCAAAAATATACAAGAAGTGCAAAATAATGATGGTAATAATGTTAATAGCTGAAATTATAAGTGAATTGAAATATTCTTAGCCTAAATTACGAATAGAAGAAGTTAAGAGAGCCAGTTATTTTGCTAATAACATAGTCGTAGGTTTCACGCTTAACACTACCTCTAACACATAGAACGCGGGCGGGTCAGATATGGTATCGTTGGGGGTGTTGTACTTGGTTGTATGAGCATATGATCTTCTTTAATGACTCCTAGTCCTACCAGATGAAATGCATGAGGACAGTTGTGAATAGAGAGGGTGTTGAGAGTCCGATAATATGGATTTAGACCATTTCTCACATAAGTTCAGTGATCTGTCGACTAAAATAGTAATGAGTTGACTTACTGGCGTGCCACTCGCCCTACTGACAACTTTTAATACGCTTCGCGATCCTCCATGAAATCTATATATCTCCTGGGATAAAAGTCTGCAACTTGTTGGAATTACTTTTCGTGACACGCCCGCCAAGTTTTTCACCCATACAGTAGAACTGACTGACTGACTAACTTAACGTTTGTATTGAAAATGGGGATTTTGTTCTTTATTCTGTAGAATGAAGTGAATTGGCAGAAGTTAGAGTTCATGGGCCATTGGATCGGGTCCCAGTGGCTTAATGGTGTACGAGCTCGCCTTGTAACCAGAAGGTCCTGGGTTCGAATCCCGGTGGGTGCGTACTGCTGAAGAATCCCAAACTGAGACGAAACAGCTGTCCAGTACTCTCAGGTTTTCCAATGGTTCTCTAACTAATGTCAGCTCATGATGAAATCTTGTAACCAATCAAATCCCTACAAACCGACACTTGAAAACTGATTTTTATTTTGTTTTTCCGACACGGCCTGGCTTCGACATCGTCATTCGTGCCACATGTCTGTAGTTGAAGTGGTACTGCCTATATAATTGAAAGTTGCGACTTACTTTAAGTTTCCCTCGGTTGAAAGAGATTGGTGCTTGTTGTTATTCTTTAGTTTTCTTCATCACCTGTGTCTTCTCTGTGCTCACATGAAGTTCTGTCTTCTCTGCTTCTTCTGTCAGCTTGTGTTTTTCCACTTGTGTATGTGACAGTCATAAATCACACACGAAATGCAGATCGTTTACAGTCTTCTTATCAGTAAAACGTATTCCTGTCCAATCGCTCACCACAGTCTTTTACGTAACGCAGTCCACCACAATTTGTAATATCATCAGTGATAGCAAAAACAGACTAGTCTAATAGACGTCTTAGTTTTAAAGCTTTCTCTGAGTTTTTGGTTGTGGATTATTTGATATGTGGCATTATCATATAAATTTTGAATGATGTTGATAAGAGTTTGTGCCACTGCATGCCATAGTGCTAGAGCAGTCTCTGAGTCACTTCGTGATCAACACTGCTGATAGACTTTGCAAAGCCGATGAAGCTGAGGCAGATATTTAACCACCATCCTATGCTCTTCTTGATTATATTGGAGCCCTGCAATAGGATTAGCCCATGATTTGCTTTTTTCTGCTCTTGGTACTTAGGCGAATGATCAACTTTCGTGGTGTGAGCAGCCAGGAAGGAATAGTTACTTACATACTTCCTTAAGTATCGTAACCTTAAGTTCCCCAGTGTGTTGCTGGTAGGCTCCAGACTAAGGCAAAAGAGCTGTCTAGTGGTGTTGCTCAATTTCCTAAGTAATGTAAGCGTTTTGGAAAAATTCAGTGGGATACGATGAATTACTTTGAAAGCTCTCGTTTTCTCCACTACATGACCACTATCAACTAAATGTGACGAAATTGAGCTACGGATTGTTTTTTTCTGTCGTTTCCCAAACCGCGAAGAAACATGTTCACTAACACGTTTGCTAAGCTGTTTAGTAGTACACCCAACATAACTGACACCGCAGGTGCAGCTAAATTGATAAATGCACATGGATGTGGCAAAACTATCTACCTAAACCTTCGTTTGCGTCCCAATCATTCGTTGGTTAGAGAATGACAAACATAGGTATGCTGCGTAAAACGTTCTTCGTATACTTCTGGAAAGTCCCTGGAATAAAATCTCATTTGATAAGTCACCATAAAATTGTAACATAATGAATAGAGGTTTTTTACGTACAGTCAGAGTCTCAGGTTTTCTCTCTGATGTTTTCATATGTTTCTTTATGAAACAACTCGGATAGTGAATATATTCAAATTCTTTTTTTATGAGATCATCCGTACATATGTTTCTTGCTTTGCTCGTAAAACATTTAACAACATTTCTTTTATATTTAATGGGCACGTAAATAAGGAGGCGTGCGTAACGCCCTATGAATGTGCTTTTTCTACACACGCTTCTCCAAGCAACCCATCTTCTTGCCTACTTAGCAAGACATCCAGAAAATGTAGTTTACTATCCTGCTCCTCTTTACAAGTAAAAGTAAGCGAAGGATAGACGTTGTTGATTTCATCAACAATTCGTCTATGTTTACATTCTCATCAGCTCAGATAAATGTATCATTGACATATCAAACTCCTTGATGATGTCTTTCATTTTCCCAGTTTTCAAGTTTTGCAAGGAAGAAGTCAGCTAATATTGGACCTAATAGAGAACCAAAAGCTATGCCATCTACTTGTCGGTAGTATGAATTATTGAAGACGAAATGCATATTCATTGGGCGTTCAAAGAATAATCCTTTAAGGCTACTACACAAGGAAATTCCTAAGTCTGATTGCCTTCCGGTGTTTTCTTGACAAATGCAATCTACATTTCCATAAGTGGTACATTCGTGAATAGTGACGATACATCCATGAATAACATGCGTTTTATCCCTCACATAAAGTCGAAGACGCACGATTTCTCTGTGCGGAAAGCTTAGTAAAGCACTGAATTATTACCTCTCTGGCACTTTAGACGTTCGCATCATCATCATCATCATCATCATGTACTCTGTAGTACTGAAAATTGACTTTTAAAAAAAACTGTTACAACTGTCATCAGGCAGGTTATCATCACAGATTCAGTTTGAATTTCATATATTTCAGTTTATTTTTATTTTCTATCTGTTCACCAAAACCATTCGCATGATTCATATCATCATATATAACTAAAGTGTCATTCACATGTCGTTTGTATGTAATCATCTATTCATAAATATGTTTGCAGTCCATTGATCTTATGTACTGATCTCATTATTTATTGATACCAAATCAGTCATTTTTGACCTGAATTTTCTTAAATCTATTAACAATATTTAAAGTAATGATAATAATTATAATACATATCATTACAAAGAATACTAACATCGGTTGCTATACAAACCGTATGACAGTATCAAACAGTTTAGATCACAGATTAATATTAGTTGGGCAACCACTGTAAACCATCTGAGTGTACTGGATAGCTGTTTCGCATTCAGTCTGAGGTTCTTCACCAGTATGAGCCCACTGTGATTCAAACCCAGGACCTTAAGACTACAAGGCAAGCTTGTAAACCATTTAGCCGTTGAGGCCCGATTCAAGCCCTACAGACTAACTCTTGAGAAGTTGTGACCAATGGGGTGGTCCATTGAGTCTGATGAGAAGGTAATTACTCGCCGATGACAGCTACGCTATATCTTGCGTGAATTGGCAGAAGTTGGGATGCATAGGCTGGACACTGGGTTGAGTCCCAATGGCTGAATAGTCTAAAGGCTCGGCTTGTGGCCTGAGGGTCCTGGGTGGTGCACACTGCAGAAAAGATCTTAATAAAGGAATCTATGAGTACGGAACAGTAAGCATACAGTTTGCTATTCAACTTCATTTAGCAATCTGTAAATAAATACATTTCTTAGTCATGTCTTACTGTCTCACTATTCAGCGGACCCTGAAACCAACCCTGCAAACCAACATTTGAATATGTCAGTTAGTCTATAATCATGATAAATAAAATTGGAAGGTGTTGGTTTATGCAGACCAAACTAGGAGAGAAACAGTTGTCCAGTAGCCCACTGTTGGTTTCTCAATGATTTTCTAACTGACATCAGTCCTTGGTCAAATTTGGAACAAATTAAAGTTTACCGTTGAAAATAATTTGGAGTTTCAAAAACTTTTTAAGGTTCACTTCTATCGACTACTTATCCATTTGATAAAGTAGTATTAGACAACTATGTTTGACTATTGGTATGCCAATCCTACAAGGTCATTTAAGGCTTAAAAATCTTTGATACAATAAACAGCATATCGTGTCTTTCTCTTTGGACCAATTTTGGCGGCCTGCTTAAAACCTGGGCTACCGATAAATAACTCCATCAAATATACTATAAATAATTTCTCTTATTCAATTTGTTTAAATCTAGTAAAATATCACCTCTAATAGTGTTATTTACTCTGGCGAGTATTTAAAAACACTTACAATCTGCTGATTCTCTAGAATCTACGAAATTTGAGTTAAAAAAGCATGATTCAAGATGCATGACATGATTATCCCACTACATAAGATAAGCATTCCTCAGTAGTAGTGCCACTCGTTCACAAAATGCATTCCTGAACTTTTTATAAACTGACATTCTCTAACAAAATATTGTCGTGTAATTGTTGAAGGAGACAAAGGCGAGATATCGTAATGGTGGATTCGTCTGACATTTAGGTCAGATAGAGAACTGTGTCACACGATCTAATCTCGGTCGATTAGTCTTTTTTATTTGAAATTTCTTGACACCAACGAGAAAATATCATGGAATAAACTCCACTGAAAATTCTGTACATTATATGAACACTGTTTCAGAATACAGCTTTGATTGCCATTATCATGAATATTATTTTCAATTATTCATCTTTCTACAGAAAGTTAAAAGAGTTTGTATCCTCTCGACGAAATAGAAATGCAGGTATGTGATGGTTTTTTGGTTGACATTTAAACTGAATTACGCTTCAGTTTATATTTTTGTTTGTTTAATATTCAAAATTCAATAAATTAAACAAGAATGTGTGCTTGCTGAGCATTAATCATATGCACCAAATTTTTTAATAAAAAATTTGTATTTTTGTCCTTTCGTTCAATTTGTTAGCAGAAAATGTCACGATGTATAATCGATTGTACACGATTGTTTATACTGACAACACAATTATGCACATAAAGATAGAAAATCAAACTAGAAAGGCACAATTTATGATTTTGGTTATTTGAAACTAGAAAATGAACAATTCTTTGTTATTTTCTGACTGACTAGTTTCAACATTGAAACTTTGCGTAGAAGTGCAGCACTACGAGTTATGAAGAACGATTATGCACAGTGACTGCATCTTCGGCATTGAGAATGACTTTGAACCATATCACCAATTGTCTGCAGCCGTCACTGATTCTTAGAATCTTCTGGATTGCAAAGAAGAAGCCAATACGTCTCTACGTGGTCGGTTGGCTTAAAATAATTGTTATGGATTTCATTGACCAATGAAGCCATGTTCCAGTTGGATCATCACTAGCTAGCTCTTTTCCAACTTGATCCATCCTGTGTCAGTGAGCTCACCTTTCCCGTCGGGGGAAGGAGATCACTAGGCATAAATGCGTAACATATGTTGTCCTAACAATCTCACTCAACGGATGTGACTTCACAACCTCGTTCATTGATTTTCCCTCCTTACCTACCTAACACTCAACCGAGGCTTAAACTTAATATTATTCACCCACTCTATTTTACCTACCACCTTATATGGGAGGTAGAGAGAAGACAGACACCTATGATGAATGACAGCCATCTAGTCAGTCAGCTTTTTGATTTCTTCCACCTTCCATGGCTATTTCTCACCAGCAACCATAAAGGAGGACGGACTGAAGTGCTGCTGAGCAGTTCCAGCCGGAAATCACGTCCACGCCAGAGTTGGTATAAGTCGACAAATAGCCTTTAGGGCTGATGAAATTTTCCAAATAAGTGTAGTGGTCGACACGCTGTAAATAAACAAGAGTATTCTCTGGTAATAATCCAATCGCTGAGTAGCTGAAGGCAGTTAGGGTTAATTCCATTAGTACATGGATGATGAAAGTAAATAGACATCCCTGATGGACACCAAACAAAATGGTGAAATTAGAAGACAGAGAGTTACCAAGGAAAAAGTTACGATTAAATTAACTTCAGTAAAGCTCTCAAAATCAACTCCTATTCAATGACTATGTGATAAACATATTCAGCTGATAACTTAAGGGATTTTAGGTTTGATCCGAATTGAGATCATCCATGTCCACACTGCAAATTCTTAAGCCATAGGATACATTTGTTCTGTGCTCCTTAGATTCTGATGATGTTTTAACTTATGCTGGTTTCACAGGATGAGTTATTACCAATGAAATAAGAGACTTTTAATATTTATTTTGTAAGGATTTGATTTGATTCAAGTCTGATTACGGATCGATGTCAGTTGGAGAGCCGGTGAAAACCAGCTGAGACTACTGGACAGCTTTTTAATCCTACTTTGGGACTCTTCATCAGTGCGCACCCACCGGGATTCCGATGCTCACTAGTAGCTGATCACATGGCGAAGCCGCCTGGAGTTCTAGTAAGAAGTTTTAACTAGTGAGATAAGAGGACGGTGACTGGCCCACGTTACTGGCTGGTGGTTGTGCCAAATATCGCGAAATGGTAGAAGTTGAAGTTCATGGGTCATTGGGTCGGGTTCCAGTTTCTGAATGTTCTACGAGCTCACCTAGTAATTGGAAGGTCCTAGATTCGAATCCCTGCGGGTGCCTACTGGCTACGAGTTGCAAAATAATACGGAAGAGCTGTCTAGTACCCCCTGCTTTCCAATGGTCCACTAGCCGACATCATTCCGTCATCAGGCTTGAAACAAATCAAAAGCGTACAAACTCTTGAAAACTGAACTATTAACTAATAGTAAATGCCTAATTCGTTACCTTTAAGTGTAAAAATCAAAAGGATTGAGCGGAGAAATATTTACTCTTCAATTAGATTCTCATCTATGACTACACTCTAATAAGTACAGAGCATTTTTATTACAAAACGATTTAAACATTTATAATTTTTGAAGGGGGCTAAGGGGGAGGATGAAGTAATCACGTTTATACATTCATGTAACGATGACCAAGGTAAGGAAAGTGGCTGCACGAATTGCTTCTGAACACACAGATTTGACTGCTTCAGGTGGATTCTGACGTCTTCGGCCGTTGTATGTAGAAGACGAACTCATAAATCAAAACTAAGATTAGATGGAATGAGATGAATAACTTTAAATACTGTATTAAGGTCAGCTTTATGCTCACCATCTACAAGGTGTGCTAAAAGAGAGCTACCAATACACCTTGTTTGTCCGTTGTTTAACCATTTGCCGGACGATTTTCGGAAATACGATGATGAACCTGGCTAATTGCATCCAGCTGCAGTCAAACTGGTAGATGCATATAGTAGAGGCGAAATTATGTAGTTCGGCCTTATTTCTCTGTCAACTATCATTTGGTTTATGCCTTTTACCATTTATTTTATGATTTTATCCATTCATTTAATTATCCCAATGAAAAATGCCCCAATGACGTAATCAGTCGCTCTTATCTTATCTTCATAAGTTTACTTTGATTTTCTACATTACAGATGCTGTTAATATGAGTAATATCAATGCCCTACTCCACTCAAGATGTCCGGACTTTTCATCCCCAATGTGTAAAGTAAGCCTGATTCTTTCTTATTAAAATATTGATTATTATTATAGAAATTAAGAAATTATCTGTGAGTTTATAAGGCTTACATATATCTCAGTTAACTCTGCTACCTAACCTAACAGCATTCCCTAGTTTAAGTTTTCATAACATGACCGGACACGTACATATCTGAGGTTAAGTTTTCATGGAGAGAGACCAACAGTGAAAGCCAGCTCCCGCTGTTCGTCCTGTTTGAGACGTGTCAGATGGGATGTACCTATATCCCAGTGAGTGAGAATGTTAACATCGAAACTAAAACCCTTCATCCGTCATCTCAAACGTCAAAGCATTACTTTTTACGATACTGGGGCACAACATGAGCTGTAGCCCTGCTCCCGATGCCACTTGACAGTTTTCTCAACGCGTATCCAATCCATCTCCATTTTCTTCGGGATATTTCTTGAGCAATAGGTCATTCGTTAGTTGGTTCCCACAGTTTCTTGTTGCTTATTCTTTCTAGTCAACCATTTGATCTTTGATATAGAGCCAGCGAATGCGGCAGCTGTTGATGAAAGTCTCGACTAGCCTGTTAGAAATGCTTTTCGTGTCGCAATCGCCAAATGTCTAACCCACACAGAAGAACTGAGTGGCTGACTTTACATTTCAGAGTGACGATTATCTGTCTTGCCTCCTCTATCCTGACTGTTCATAACATCCTCATCCGTGCTATCGCTTACAGTTGGAATGATTCCTCCTAGATGAGTGAACGAGGTGACCTCTTTCAAATTTTTCCCGTTGATAGTGATTGGTGCTTGCTTTTATCATTGATTGGTTGTCTTCATCCCTTCCATTTTATTTATTTTCCCTTGAAGTCCTGCCTTCACTGCCAGTTTCTTCAGCCAGTTTGTTGGTCTTGCCTGTAAATCTTCGAGCTCATATGACAACAGACACAAATCACACACAAAATCAAGATCTTCCAGAGTGTTCTTTTAGGTCCGGTGTATTCCAGTCTTCTTTCCGCTCACTCACGGTGTTCCTCATAATCTAGTGAAGCACAATTAGAAATATCATTGGTGATAATAGGCAGTCTTTTAATATTCAAATACTCACTTCAAACATAAGATAGCATCATTATCAACAGTTAATTTGTAGGGATTTGTTCTGTTCCATATTTTATCATGCATCAGTGTGTTCTGATCTGTTTGCTAGTAACTGACTGGTTACAGGATGAAGTAACCTTAAGTCCTATTGAGAAATAGGGACCAGTGTGGTCAGCCTTTAGGACGAATAATCACGCTAAAATCACACATTCGTAGATGTTAGAATTCATGGGCGACTGAGTTCAGTCCGAATGGTTGAACTGTCTACGCGCTCGATCTGTAACCAGAAGGCTCTAGGTTCGAACTATTGCAGTGAGTGCGTACTAGTGCCAAGTTCCAAACTGGGCCGACAAAATGGCTGCCCAACGTGCCTTGGTTTTGGAACGTATCTCTAACTGACATCGATCCGTGATCCAACTTGAAATAGCACTATTTATTTTCTTCGCAACAACATCCATCACCTTTAAACCATTAGTAATCATATATATATAAAAAATGGTTCATTCAAGTAAGTAAACAAGCCATTAAAAGATAGCAGATAGAGGTATGTGACTATGTCTGGAAAAGTTTTAGTATGACGTAAATCCGATGGAAATAAACGACTGACGCGCTACCTAACGTAACCTACACCAATCACTAAACATAACGACAATAACACCAGCGTGCATAAACAAGACACAGAAGAAGGATCGTTGACATGACAACTTTTACTGTTTTAAACAATGAGTTGAAACTTTTGACAGCATTACTAAATATATACATATAGCGGTTTTAAATGACCATTGACAAACACCGAATTCATTGACAAGTGTAAGCAGTTAGCAATCATTGAGGAATCGGCCTTTAAAAAGAGTGAGGGTTGTGGAAGACGCCGTGAGTGTGGGATAACTGCAAAATATAGTCCTATTAAAAGTAATAGGCTAATGGTAGGCAACTGATAGGGGAATACAAATAATATTTAAGTATGGTGATGAGAACTATGACGTAAAGGGGAAAGCACAGACTGATAAACAGAAGCTGATATTTTTCTGTCACGGGTAAATTTGACTCTGTGTACAATCGTTCGCTCTGATTTCCCCTAACTCTCTTACGAAAACATTTTTAAAATATTTGAATAATTCACATAGGAGAATTTCTTTCTACATAATGGTCAGTAAATTTATCAAGCTTCATCTGACTCTTATAACACTATATTGAACTGCTCCATAGTTATCCTTATATCTCATTGATAACCTAAATGGTCATACATCTTCTTGCATCACTTTCTCAATCATTATTTATGAAGGCTAAATGATTCCTGCTTAGAAGACAGAAGGACTGAGCGAAGAAATATTCACTTTCTAATTAGATCATTGCCTATCACTCCACTGTAGTATACATACAACATTTTTATTACTTCAGTTGGACAGAAACCAGCAAAAGAAACCGTGGAGCGGCTACTCAACAACGATGAACACCTTCCACAACATTCAAAATTTCAACAATAAAGTTAGATGGAATGCATAAGCCTATGTGTATTAAAGTAATTGCAGTTCAGCAGCCAAATATATGAATAAGTTAAAGAGACACCTATGGAATCGCCCATATCAGGTGTGATTCCAGAAGATGTGATGCTGTAATAAATTGAAAATATAATCCTAACGAAGATCAAACTCAAAATTTGGGTACTTTACATGGATGACACATTCGTGATAATCAAAAGAAATGAGGTGGACAAAACTCATAACTTAATAAACGACATCCACTTCACAAGAGAAGAGGAATCCGAGGACAAAGTTCCATTTTTGAACATCTTAGTCAAGTGAAAAACCACAGGAAAATTGGAAACTCAAGTTTACTGAAATACTCACTTATACAACAGTAACAACCCAATAACACATAAAAGAGTCACATACAAAAATTATTCAAAAGAGCCAAGAGTCATCGCAGCGCTCCTGTCTTGAAGCAGATTGAAGAAAAATATATCATGGATGCCTTCTAAAAGAATGGATATCCTCGAAATGTCACCAAAAGACAACTTCGCCCAACCCAATCAACCAACCGAATCAAAGGTCCTCAATGAAAACACAAAGGAAATCATCTTACCATATATAAAGGACGTCTCCAAAATCACTGCAAGACTTTTCAAACCGTTGGGAATTGATGCCGCACACAAACCAACAAAAGCACTCCACTCGGCTGGCTTTATGTCAACCAGCGAAAGCATATGAAACCAACATCATCTAAAAATAAATTGCAACGACTGCGAAAAACCCTACACCAGCCATAGTGGAAGCCGTTTTAGTCTTCACATCCATGAACATAAACTAACCGTCAAAAGACATGGTATCCACTCCCTCATATCACTGCGCATACAGGCAACCACGGACATCAATTCGATTTGAACACTGTTCAGAGATTAGGTAGATGAAACATGAGAAATGCCAAAGAGTTATTGGAAGCCTGGTATTTAAGTGAATCGGCAGTCAATAGACACATTGACACAGAAAAAATTTACCAATCCATAAGAAGGAGATCTCATATACAAAAAGTTAAACTTCAGGTCAAGGAAACAATCGATGCCAATAGAAGAACATTAGAGGTTGTGAAAACACACACAAAAACACTCGACCACAACAGTTAAGGTTATCAACAGGAGAGATGACTAATAAACTCGTTGAGAATTCTAAAAGCTCACTTCAACAAATTGAAGTAGGCAAGCTGAGGATATTGCGTAGTAAGGCAATGAAAGCTTGACTAGTAAACCATCCAAATCAAAGAACACAACTGCATCAAAATCGTCAACTTGAGAGGTACAAATCTTCTCTATTTAATTTATAACACAACACAAAAAACTTACCAATCTAGTGGTGATAACTGCATAAAATTATAAACTACTGGTTGATTAAGATCAGTAGTTGTATACCTCTCGAATCAATCAGTTACTGGTGCCTGCTAGCCAGTCAGATCAAAATGATCTATCCACTGGAATGCCATTTTACTCATTTGGAGCCGAACTCGTCATCGATTCAGCTCGGACAGCCGGATAGGTTCAAATCACCTAATTTCTACCTAGCTACTTGATGAGATTTCATCTTTTCAAATCGTGTAAATTGCAAACTGTGAATTTCATTTCTAGTGGTGATGGGTTTTTATTTTAGTAATTATTAGTCAATATCAATATTTTAAAAGGGATGATAATTAACTAAGAAAATTAATACAACAATTGAAGGGTAGAAATACCTAGAAAAAACTACACAGTTGGATTAAATAAGGATTTTTTTTAAGGAAAATAAGGATTTATTAAGAAAGAAATAAGTTTCCAAGAATTGGTCTGTAAGGATTCTGTTTGATTAAGCTTAGACCACGGATTAATATCAGTTAGAAAACCACTGAAAACCAGGGAGTACTGAACAGCTGTTTCATCCTAGTTTGGCACTCATAGGCAGTACGTACCCACTGGGATTCGAACCCAGGACCTTTCGGTTACAGGGCAAGGTCGTATACCATTCAGCCACTGGGATTCGATTCAAATAAAGTCTCCATGAACCGATTACTGAAAATTAATACAATGCTTTCTAGTGACTCTCTACAGGATGGAGTTGCCTGGAGTTCTAGTGAGAAGTCGTGACTACTGGCGTCCATCCAGTCGGGAATGAGGATGGATTCTCACTGATGACATTGGTTATTGGTTGCACTAAACCATAAATTGGTAGAAGTTAGAATTCATGGGTTATCCATTGAATCGGGTCCCAGCGGCTGGATGGTATACGAGCTTGCCTTGTAACCGGAAAGTCCTGGGATCGAACCCTGGTGGTGGGTACTTACTGCCGAGGATTCCTAGACTAGGATGAAACAGCTGTCCAGTACTCCCTAGTTTTCAATGGTTATATAACTTATAACCTGAAATAAATAAGTTTACGAAATGATTTCGTAACAAGCAATTAA